AGCCTCATGTCTGCTACTAACCTCTCCATCCTTGGTAATAACTAGAGCCGGAGGCAAGAGGCTAAATGCCACCGCGAAAGATGACAGGCCAACCTCAGGAGGACAGTCACAACTACCACTTCCCGCGAAAAGTTGAATTCCCGTTCCTCTGAGCCGCGGTGCTTTGGTTCAACGAAGACTCTGTCTTTCCGGTAATGCCAGCTCAAACCCCATTCTATTTTTGAAGGCTACCACTGAGAGACGGAGGGGAGGGAAAAGGCAGTCTTTGATTAAACCTTCTGGTCGGATCGATGACTGTCATACGTGCAGTCTCACCGTAACCAAAATGGACGCTGGTTTTTAGTGTAACATCTGCAATATGTGGGTACATAGTCAGTGTGATGAGGACACACCGGACCAAATTGCGCCGCCGTGGCGTGCTACCTATGCACGCGGTTCTGGCAAATTTGCTCGCAGTGTCGTATTAGGCCACGCTTTTCTACAAAGTCGCTTAAGGAAGTCGTAAAAGGCACCTCAGTGGCCACTGTGATGCTGGCGCCCACACAGACCACCACCCCAGATCAAAGCGACAAGAGTGACAGCGCCATTCCGCAGACGGTCACACTTGTGAAAGGTCCAAAAAGACGCAAACGACGACCAGGTACGCGATCAACCACATTCGTTCCTAACCCTTAAGTCACCTTAACGGCTATCCCCAGTGTACATGGAGAAAAATGGGTGACAGTCGGAAAGAAGGTTCACCCTTCTCATAAAAACCCACCCACAGTAAAGGACAACATGGGCGTCGATGACAGATCGAATTCTGTCGCCCTATTTAACTTCCCTGTGTGTCATGATGGCCCTCTTGAGAACAGAGAGCGTTTTAATAAGCAGCAATGGCAAGCGGTGTGCGCCATACTGGCACTGGGCAGCTTAGAAGCAAAGCTGTACCAGCCCAACAAAGGCAACTGTACACCTCAAGGAAAGTCCCCGCCGAAGAGAGTGATCCTTAGCTCCGCTAAGAAAGTGGAAAGATTCTTGTTGCTGCCACATACACTGGTCATCAACCAGTCATCCAGCATTAGGGAAAGGCCATGGTCGGAGAGAAAAATATCTCGCGAGGCACCCCACACGCTGGATCCAACAACCATGGTTGTTCACGGCGTACCGGAACCAACAACCGGCACAGTGGCAGGGAGGTATGCCCATGACGTTCAACAATGGCGGTGGTTATCAGCGAGAGTGGGGTCAGATAGTATGGCAGTATATAGACCACCACGTCCCTTACATTTGACGATGATAACCTCACCCAGGTTGACGGCTATTAACTTCAGGTGTCAGGTGCCAAAGCATTACAAATTTGGTATACAGTAAAAGACAACATCAGCGGGAACGTTCATTGATGCGAAAGAAGGCTTAGGACATTGCGGCAACAGCAAACGACAGCCCTGCCCAGCGCTAAAGTCACCATCACTGTCAGCAGACAAGATATCCAAACCAGTACAAACTCTGTAAAATCCCAAGAAACCACTGTGGAAAAAATGTGATTGGCCCGATCCCACTGGAGCTGGCCGTTCTGTAGCAAGTCTCGCTGTTGCATACGATCCCCTTCTGTCTGCCAACACCAAGACACTCCATGTTGTTGAAAACACAACCAAGTGTCTTTACAGTAACGTGAGGAGACTTAGAAGTAAGATGGAGGAATTACGATCTATGTTCCCAACTTGCTACAAAGTCCATAACGCTGGAAGAATTTAGGTCATCACTGGACATTAGTTTCATCGAGACTAGTGTAGACGGTATGGGTCTGTTCAAAAGAGACAGGGAGTTCAAAGAGGGACTTGGAGTGGCAGTGTTTGTGGGTGACCATCTTAGAAGGGAACAAGCAACCGAAACTCTACTCTTAGGGATCCCAGATTCCATCTGGTGTCACTTTACGGCTTGACACCACGCACCCGGCAGGGGCGTCTGCAGAACTACTAGCAAAGTGGAACATAACTAGCAGCTGTTGCGAGTAATGTCCGGGGCGACGTTCATGAGATATGACCAATTCATTTTAGCCGGCGACTTTAATGCTGCAACTCTCAATCTTGGGCAGGACAGGGGAACCTCAAACCGAAGGTTCGACCAACACTATCCAAAAGGTTTAACTGCACGGGATATTGACGATGTCGCTCGCTGGGGGTCGGGGGAAAACTGTCCACACTGGACTACCTTTTTACCGGCGACCACCTACTGGCTGAAAACGTTCGGGTTCAAACCCACCTTGGCAGCAGCGATCACGGCGTGGCGGTGTTCCACCTGGTTTTCAGATAACAACTGTCATGAGTGGGATCTGGCCCTTGTCTTTGCTGCAGCAAGGCAAACTACGTGGTGGTGAACCAATGTATGTCGAAGGCACTGTGGCCTCAGGAGTGGAGTGACCTTACGACTGACAAACATTGGGAACCAGTTAGAGATATTGTCAAGAGGGCTATTTCTAAAAACGTCCAAGCAATCACAGAACCACCGAGGAAGCGAACCTCGTGGCTGAAGCTTGGCGCTGAACGCCTTTTGAGAGCCAAGATGAAAGCAGGGCATAAGCGGAGGACCTTTAGAAAAGAGTCCGACCACACCGCGTATGTAGCCCTAAGAAATCGACGCAACCTCAGAGTGAGGGAAGACAGGAAGTCATTCTGGATGAACGTCGCCCAGAAGCTCAGGGTGAACCGCAAAAACCTATATCGACTTAAGGCAGGCAGAAAATCAGCTGCTAAGGGGCTTACTTTCTGATAGGCCTGAATGAAGACAACCTCTCCGGACTACAGGTAGCCGAAGCCTTTAGCACCGCCTTCCATACGCAAATAACCACGTCTCCATCTAATCAGAGTTGCCAACTGCCTGAGCAGCATTCAGCAGCGCCAGTTGCGGTACAGTTGGATGGAACAAAGATAACTCCCGCTATGATCCTGGAAGAGCTATCAAGGCTCCAAGTGAGGAAATCAGCAGGGTGCGATGACATCCGGCCGGCTGTGTTGAGACAATGCTCGGGTTCCTTGCCCAGCCCGCCGCTTAACCTGTTTCAAAACTCCCTGGACAATCACATACTTCCACGAGAGTGGAAACGTGCTGTTCTGCCCCCGTCTTCAAGGGAGGAGGCAGACAGAACCCAAAATGCTATCTGCCCATAGCCTTTCCGCCGCTGTTGTCAAAAGTAATGGAGAGCCTGGTAGACAACCATGTCAGAGAGTACTTGGAAAAGAGGGGAGCACTAAGCGACGCTCAACATGGTTTCAGAAAGGGTAGATCCTGAGCCCCAAACATTCTGGCCGCCAGCGATAAGCGGACGGCATGTTGGGACCTCCAGATTCCTGTCCATGCCATTTTCCTGGATTCTTCCAGGGCCCGTGGCACAGTCCCACACACCACTTTTATTCACAAGGTATCAGGGTTGGACATCAAGGGTCATGTGCTCTCCTGGCTACAGCAGACAATGCTGCTCAAAAGCCAACAGAGTTTGCTCAACTTAGAGGACATCATCATCTGCTGTATCACAAGGAGCGATTCTGGGTCTTCCGCCATTTCTTCTTTTTGTGGACGACCACCCACTGATTCTAAGCTCTCCAATTCTTCTTTACACTGATGATGTTGAGTTATGGAGAGCTGTGACGCCTAAAACAGGACCAGGTGCACCGCAAAGTGATCTCAGATTACTTGCAGAGCAGGTGGATACTACCAGACTGGAGTTTAATCTGGGTAGGTGCCGAGCCATGTTTCTCCGTGCCCCTGACTCTCAGAAGGTACCCTATTCTCTCTGTGGAACACAACTTTTCCCCTCCACCACCGAGAAAGACCTAGGACTAGTACTGACTGATGAGCCAGATACTAGCTTCAATTATCCAGAAGACGCCTCCAAAGTCTACACAGTACTGCACTTCATGCACAGACGGCTAGGTGCCCTGACCCCAGAACCCTTTTTGAAGCTGTACAAGACTCACGTAAGTCCCCACTTGGAGGTCCACAACGTCACTGCACCACCATATCTGAAAAGATGTGAACCTCCTAGAGAAAGTCTGAAGGACAGCGGAAACCCTTTGAGGGCAGGCCGAATGATCTTAAATTCTACTCTCCAAGCTACGGTAGATTATGTGGTGACTTGATAAAATACTACGTAACCCAAGTCATCCAAACAGCGGAATCCCAGCGATCGGCCCCTGTGGTGACCCACGTAGTAACCCAAGGAGAATCGCACAACAAAGGGCAAAATCCAGTGTGCGCTCACACTTCTTCCCTCTGATAGTTTGCAGCCACTGGAACGCACTGCCTGCTGAGATTGACACTGCTCCGTCCGTTGACAGCCTCAAGAAGATGCTGGACAGTTACGCAGCAACTCACGGCTTGCGCTCATGCATCTGGGATGTGGACTATGCTGACACGACGTACTAACTCAGTACGGCCAACCCATCATTGAATACGTCGTAACACCACTATCACTGCAAACTTAGCTCAACCTTATACTTCCCTATAGACGTCCCCTCCAGTTACCTCCTCCCATTAATAGAATTGCTATCCCTATTCCCATAGGCAGTTCTATAATGTGATTTTCTCCTTCTCCTCCCACTGACTTAACTTTCTCATACTCTAACTAAAGCTCTCCCCATCACCTTTCTCTCATGAGTCTACCTATGTTTCTTCTTCCGTGCCATGTCCTTTTACCTAATCGTTAAATTTTTTTTCTATGCACTTTCTCCTCCTTGACTTCTCTGGGCATATTTTCCACCTCCTTTTTACAACTAGGTCGACCAATTGTCTGCTGGTACATCACTTGGGGAACCCATCTGTACCACAGTCCTTGGGAAAAAACACCCTACAAATTTAACCAGCACCCAACCGCCCGTTGGGCTAACCAGAGCTACAGAAGTCGAGTAGGTAGATCTACTGCATTGGAATCCACCAAAGACCTGGGACCATTCCGCAAGACCCAGAAGCGAGCGCGAAGGAATCAATTGGTTTGCACTAGCTTGTAAAAGATATTAGATATTGGACTTGGATGTTAGCGGATTGTTCAGTCGTGTAGGAGATCACAAGGTTAAGAAGGTTATCCTGTCATGAACTAAGATCGCTAGTTTTTTATTGATAATGTTAATCTCAGTGGTGGTCTTTAGTAAATGATAGAACGTTGTTAGATATTTCTGTGGTTGTTTGAGTGGCCTTTAGAGTAACTTTTCCTAACAGTAACCTCTCAAAAAACGTGTACTTGAGATACTATAGTTCAGCTTGACACCATTTTCGTGGTTGAGTGTTGGAAGATTTACGTGTATAGTTATCGTAAAATTTGCCCTGTTTGAATATTTTTTCGTTTTCGCAGCCTTGCTATTTATTGCTGCACGTTTTATTTTAACCTCGAGCTGCCTTCTATGGTATTATCGTCGGTCATCATTCAGTACTGATTGTTTTCGCATGGTCAATAAATTTAAGTAGGTGTTCTTTATCTTTATCTGCATTTGAAACCCTTTCCACAATGCAGCTTTGATGTCTAGAATTTCTAACATCTTCGTTGAATTAATAATACTCCGACTGTGATTTATAGTTCAACACAAGTGCATTCTTAAATCTTGCTAATCCGTCGGTTTATGTTTTTTGCTTTCCATTTCAGATTTTAGATTTTTCTGAGTGTACATTTCTGTTCGTCCCCTGCATCAACAGTCCGACAGCCTTGACGGAAACCCACCAATAGCTGGCCGTTTCACTTATACTACTATTTGTTTGTCCATCCATCGTGTCACCGTTTATTTTCCGTTGCATTTTTTCGATTTCGCTTCCCATTGTGGTATCGCATTTTCTCACATAAGATACAGTTGTCGGTGTAGATAATGTTCCTCATGGATGCTTCCGTTGAAAGTGGATCTGTGGTTCGTTCAAGTAGTTATTTTTTCAGTATTCATAAATATCCATCCGTGAATCCACCAATTAATGCATGGATGTATGCATCTGTGCATACATTTATGATGAATACAGTCATTTGTCAAGCCCATCCGGTGTTCCGATATACTAAAGTAACCCAAGGTGTCTTTCACCTCTATCTGTTAAATGGCAGAGCGTCGTTCCCTTGTCTACAGACTCGACTATAAGCTCACCGTATTAATCCTAGATAATCGTTAACTAGGTGCACACATTCACCACCGACTATTGAAAGTATTGTGAAAAGGTAGAATTAACATTTGTCTCTGTAAGGCAAATCTCAACATAGTGAAATGTGAACGGAAGGCAATAGAAGTTATTTGCAAACCAAATTAACTACAGAACGTTTTTGGTAGCATGATATTTTCCTACTTCGCTAGATCATCAAGCGTAAACATTGCTCAATTCAGTAGTGCAATGAAAGTATTAGTGGGAGTAAGATAAATACTGCAGGATAGTTGATCATATTCACCAGAGGAATTGATCCAAAACATATAGCTAGCTACACGTTAAAGTGAAAAACTCAAGGTTAGTGGTAAAACGTTTAACTTACCACCGTTCACTCAGCTGAGCCCGGGTCGGACACCACACTAAACTCTGACTAAAAGCGATAGAACTTTAATATCAGTAGTTGAAGTAGGTAGTCCCAATGGGATATTTTCAAAGCTGCAGTAGGGCATTATTAATTAGGATCAGGTTGACGAATAAGTCACTCGTGAAAATCTTTAACATTCATTCACTTCAGTCTTCTGACCGTTCTTTTAATTTTGCTACTGCTCTTTGACTACTTGTTCCATCTGATATTGAGTTTGTATGTTTCTCTTGTTCTCAATCTTGAATTTATAGTTACTGGTTCGTTCTCGAGACAAACCTTATATCGATTCTTTGGTATTTGATTATTTTCCTAAAAAGTTTGCTCCTCAAAGTGGAAGGTCTTTAGTGGGAGTCTGTCAACCATATTCTTGTGAATGTTCAGGCTTCATTTTCCACAAATTAATGCAGTGTGTTTTTCCAAAGGATTTTAATGGTCTTCAGTTGAACGGTTACAACACACATTGTCTTCTCATTGACTGTGGAGGCCGGTTTAATGCATCACAGTTTGAAGATTTCGTTAAGAGTTACTTGCAAAACAAGATTTCTGCTTCGGAATTTAAAGATGATCAATATAAGCTGTTTATGAACGAGGTTCGTCGTCTTATTTATTATATTCCCCCTAATAGGCACTATCCAGAATCCATATTATTCGTGTATTTACTGATTGTGAACTCCTTTTGGCCTTATATGTTTCCAGAGAAGTCATAAAATCTCATCCCATCTCGTTTCTTATGATAAGTGCAATAAATGCGTTTACTCATTTGGAACGATTACGCTGTTCTTGGCGCAGTCTTGTTAATCAACATTCGATTTTGATGGGTATCTTACTTCGTTTGATCGCTGATTTTCAGCTTCTTTGTATTGTTACTATGCGATATTTCCCGGGTATTCACTTATCTAGAGGATGTGATCCCAATGATTCTACTATTCATGAAGCTTATGAAATGATGCGTCCAAGTCCTTTTCTAGGCACTGAACCAAGACCTGATGATTGGTTAAAATATATGACACACAAAGTCGAATTATTTGACTGTGAAAATTCCTTTGTTTCTTACATAAAGGATGAGTCCGGTATGAAAGTAGTAAAGGATACTAGAGTTACGTATTCATAGTCATTTTGCTTTAATAAAAAGCTTACTAATAGTTGCTTCTTTGTTGATTTATTTGCTTCATAAATCTGGTTTTCGATATAGTAGTAAATAAGCGAGTCCAATACAGTTCACCAGTTTTGTACAGCTGTTTATCGTAGACTATGAGCTGGACTTTGTTTGAAGTTTTATGAGCATATGCAGGGCATAAACTTAAGTATATACATCAAGTCTTAGTTTAAGATGTAATAACTAGCAGTAGAACATCTAAATCAATGAGTAGAAGTTATACGGAGAGTGATTACTGAGTTGTAGTGGAGAGCAGCCCTGATAAACTTCCCCTCAAAGTTCATATGAATAGTACTAAAAAATCAGCACTTTATCAGTAATTTTGTGTAAGGGAATACTATCAGTGTCCTAACACATCAGAATGTCCTAGGAACAAAATTTTGTTCTTGAAAAGTTATACACATACAATGAAGACGGATAATTGTATATGAATTATTAGAATTTAGCCGAGTAATACCTAAAATATTTGGCACCATATAAAAAGTTGACATTAGATATAGGTTATGTTTGTATAATTCACTGCGTGTTTGACACAAAATAATTCCAAAGTTTCGCACGAAAGTTTGCTCCAAGCTTCACGGAAATAATCAAAATTGAAATATCAAGGAAATATATATATTTCAAACATGGTGTCACTTATGCAAATGTAACCTATATCCAGTATCAAAAGAGAATAACAGTGGTGATAATGGGTACTCTTGGCGAGAATTTGTACTAAGGGTAACTAAAAACTATATTCAACCCATCATCCCTAAGGTGATTTCAGTTCACAGCGTTTCTTTAGTTTCGTGTCATTACTGGACGTTTCGGTTGAACTTTCCGAATAAGCAAGTTGGGTTTATTACTTGTTATCTTCGCATGAATAGTATTAATCACTCTCGAGTGTCTTTCAAGTGACATGTGAAATTTAGCAATGGACATAAGATAGTTGTGGTTGGGCGTAGAGAGTTGTCAAAAATCCATCCAAGTAAAGGATTACTACCAAGATCATGATCTTGGAGACTTCGTATATGACTAATTATAAACCTTCATTAGTTTCACAAGGTCATTAATGCTTTATATTGTAAGGAAAATGTAATACTTTCATTGACTTTTTACAGTCATTTGACTATCTTCGTAATTTCTGCTTTTTGACGTGTAGATAAGAAAAATTGACTTCGTTCTTTAGTGTTTACTTTCTATCATTGAGATGCATATGGGGATTTTTATCTTTCTCTGCATCTACAGGTATTTTATGAGTATACTTATCCTTCATCTAAATGTTCATAGTGTTTCTTCTTTTTCTGGTTCGATTTTTAAAAATCATTACTGTTTTAATTTATTTTGTTATACTTCCCAGTAACTTAATAAATGAACAGTTATGCATCTTACTATTCTAAAACCTGTTTACAAAATATTGTTTGTGACTTCACTGTTACGTTATAGCTGTCTTAAATAAAACTGTTTAATGAATACAGTTCTAAAGTTGTTTTTGTTATCTGATATGTATGATTTAATTCAACTCTTTTCAGTATAAGAAACCGGTTATTGGTCAATTTTGAAAAAGGTCTCAATATAAGTATGGTATTAACGGAAGATGTTAATTATATACTTCAGAATCAAGGACTATGCATTGAAAGGAAAGCAGTAGAACCTATTTTGTGTAAACCACGGCTTTTGCCACTGAAGTCTGTTAAATTCTCAGGAAGTGAGATTGAAAACAAATTTAACGGTAATGAGAAAAACTGTAAAATGTAAAAATAATATAGCTTCATTACTTTTAACACTGCATTTTTCTTCTAGCTGTTGTTATTACGGCCGCATTGTGAGGTTTCATTCATTTGATCTTTTTCGAATACAGTTTTTCCCTTTTGACCAATGCCGTAACCTTAGCTGTGCACCATCCATTTTAATCCTTTTGCATGCTGAAAACAAAAATGTCGCCTTTTTGTTTGTTTAAAAGATTTTCGTTACATTATTTGGGAAGCTAAATCAGTCCTGAAGAGTCAGTCATTGAAGAAATCTCAGTGCGAAGAGAAAGAGAGTTACGGGCTTTCCTGAGTGTGTTTTTCTGTAGCTCTTGTGAAACATTTTGTCCCACGGTGAAGAGGAGTTAAACTGCACTATGAAATTGCCTTTTGAGGTGGACGACATGAAAAAATTATGAGTGTGGTCATTTGTATCTTTGTAGCATTGTTTGAGTGCAACACACATTGCGTTTTAGTATCAAATTTTAGGCAAGAACGTATACTAGTCGATAACTTTGCGAGCAACCATTGACTCGTCTGGTTTAAACATTTGTTGCGTATGTTTAGTTGCCAGTTCTCCGAATGTGCGACTGTGGTTGGAGGGTAGCTAGGCTTGAGGAATACTTACGGGTTGTCAGGGAGAACATGACACAAATTGTCAAAGTCACTAAGTATTAGTCTGAGGTGTAAGCTAATTGATGTCGGTCTTTGGGGTGTTCGCAGTCGATCGTTGGAGATCGTAGTTGTTGTGGCTCCGCATTGATTGCAGCAGTCCAAATGGATTCATCCTTTGTCTCCCAGCAAATGTTGCACACTTCACTAATTTAGTCTGCGCTTAAATGTTTGTCTTCATCTAGACATTTATTCGTTTCTGTCACATGTCTTATGCTTCCTTGCGACTCAGCCATCGAAGCCACCCGCCACTGCGGTAATTCCTACGTTGCTATATCTATCAGACGACTTTCGATGTTGAAGTAAATGTCATCAAACTTCTTAGATTGCATATTTTAGATCGTGGTGTATTGAACTGGTTCACATCAGTAAAAACATCTCTATCTCATTGCAGTCTTTCAATCCTAGACCAATTATAAATGAAATATATTTGCAAAATCCCAGTGAAGTTGAAAAATAAATTTGACTTTTCGAGACCTCGTGGAAATCACTTCTGAGAATGAAACCTGTCTAAGTTATCGAATGTTTAAATAGTAAATGGCAACAAATCAGATCACGTCCTTCATATGTGGTAATCAGTTATCAGTCAGTTATTAGTCTGTGAGGTTAAGGTGAAGACGTGAATTTGCGGGCCCATGTGGTTGGGTATGGATGTGTGGAAAAAATACTGTGGATGATGAATTCGATTTGCTTGTGTGTTGACCTCATGGAATAATAACTGATAACGATGACATTTATGCCCATATTATTATTATCATCATGTATGAACATCGTGATCTGATTTGTCACCATTTATTATTTGGACATATAACTTATACGTGTTTCACTCTTTGAAGAAGCCATTTTCACGAAGTCCCTAAATATCAGAAGGTTTTTTTTACTTCATTCGGATTTTAGAAATATATTTTATTTGGAATCCATCTACCCAATGCTTAACTTATTCAACTCTGTCAGGTCAAATTTTGATCCTGAAGTCCTTAGACCAATTATTTCTTGTTTTTATAAGAAAACTATGGAATGAATCATATGCATGAGGTTAAGGCACGGATGTTGGATATAAGCTTCCTGCATGACTTCATATTTTGTAGCAATGCAAAAGAAACGTCTTTCAAAAAATGCATCATATTCATTCATATTAGTGTTTTACTCTTTATAGCGTTTATTTATTTTCACCTTTTTACTGCTGCAGTGTGACTTAGAGTTTTTGTGTATGGAGAGCTAGTATTTCATCATCTATTGCTACAGAGTACTGATCTGAGTATAGTATCATGAAATTCAGAATTTGATCCGATTGACTTCCGTATTTTAGGGAAACAATACATTTTTACTCGAAATAACTACCATTGAAGTTGAACGGATTATGATAATGGTGGGAGAAAAACAAACTGGTTTCTAAGTGCTCGTTTCTATCACTTTTATAACTGATAGAATGAAATAGCATGAAATAGAATTTTGCTGAAATTCTGTCTGATATATATATATATATATATATATATATATATATATATATATATATATATATATATATATATATATATATATATAATTTTCACTTACTTCTATTTCTCTGAAGCAGGAATACTCATCCTATCAGACAAGTATATTGTGTGGCAGTTCGCTCTTCTCCTACACATCTACGAGATCACAGTTTTTACCACTGGTATCTTCCTAGCATTACTCACGTGTGGTGTGTGAGCAGTATCGAGATTAGTTGGAGAGTCAGACGGATAAAATCAACGTGGAACCTCGCCAAGAAGTGCATCGGTTTTAGTTGCTACACTTCAAATAAGCATTCAGAGAACAAGTGGGTGGGAAAAGACATATCAAAGTAGATAAAGGTGTGTGGGAGAAGGAATTCGAAAATGAAGGATAGTGAAAATATCCAAGCTTTGGAAGGCATCACAGTGCGAATACATCGCCATTGTGACCGATTTTCAGCCACATCAAATGTCTCCAACTATTGGTTCCTATTGTGTTAAGGACACCTCGTCCCCAGCTCGTAGCCCGTACATCCGTACACGGATAAACCCAACAGTCGGAGACTTCATGGACTGTTTCCACGTCTTGTCGTGGTCACTCTGAGCCTCCTTCCAACCTTATCCTACTTCGGTTAACCTTTTATGTCGAGGTAGGTGTTGGGTCAGTGTCCGGAACTCGTGCTCAAGCTACCTCACTTGCCCGAATATCCACAGCTTCGTCGACTGACTTGCTTTCGGCGCCTAGTTCCATTCGTCTAACCTCGACTTTGCTCACATGCTGATTCCATCATGTTTGAGCAATGCTACAAACACACTAATGGTCAAAATACTGTAAATGCTTCATATCTCCTACTATTAAAGGCCATATCTCACAGCCGTATAACGCGACATAAAGGAATGCAAGGACAATATACTCATCCTTTAATGAGTGGTCATATACATCATCACATTACGCAAGTTGATAAATGCCAAACGGGTATTCTGTATCCGAGCTGAGATCTTGCTAGGAACCAGCCCGTTCGAGCTGATGTAACTTCCAGGTAAGTGAAGTGGTGAAGGCGTTCTACCACCTCATTTCGTATCCTTAAACTTGGAGTAGTTGGAGACCAGTTGTGAAACATCATCTTACATTTCACATGTGCAAAGCGCATGCCGGATATGGTCAGGTTTCTGCTAACGGTGTTTTCAAGACATTGTATTTTGTTAGCATCTTTGCTTAACTGGAAAATGTCGTCTGCGTACTCCAAGTCAACCAGATGACTTCTGGGGAGTGGGTCGACTACTATGAAGTCAGAGCTACCTATGGTTATGTCCAGTGATACGTTTTTAACGAAGTCCAACAGCGACGATGACAACATGTCTTCCTGGTTGACACTACTAGAGATGACAATCACATCAGTTAACAACTCTCCGTGAGGCCTTACGCAGCTGCATTAGTTTGAGTAGGAATTTTTGATTAGCGTTACATACTTGCTCGGTACTCCTTCCGCAATCAAACGCTACTATAACGCTTCTCAGTCGATAAAGTCAAGTACCCTCATCAGCTCAAGAAATATGTCGAGTCCCGGCAAGTATGCCTGTGTTCCAAAACATGTTGGAGGATAGAAGTCGATGCACCATCATCGAGGTTTAAAACCTACTCAGTTTCCACGGATTTGCTGTTCTTAAGCTACGTTTAGGCGTGGGATAACTAAAAACCGCAGGATGTTGGACGCGATATTAGTTAAAATGATTCCTCTATGGTTTTCACAAGACTTCTCTCCCTACTTATAGAATAAAGTGATCAGTGAAATGGACCAGTCTGACGGAGCTGCCTCTGGTTCTACGAGGTTGTGAATCTTCACCGAAGTGGCTTGGAAGTGTGCCACGCTGATTCGCCACTCTACAGCGATTTCCAAAAGTATCCGAAGTAAGGTTGCGTTGTAAGAAGGCTAAGAGTGATCAGATCAAGGCGTGGTACTTGTCCGTCACATTGAGAAGGACAAGAACACCAGAATAGATAGAATAACATGATATCATTGTATCTCGTTAGGTTCTTACCAGCTACTCACAAACTATAAAACATTGATTATGAAGCTACAGTAGAAATGTAATATTCTTGAGTTCATCACCAAAATGTCAATCAGTGGGTACGTTCCACATGTTAGGGTATAGAATTATTGGGAGCGACATGAATGGAAGTGAAGGTGACAAGGGATTTTGATATTTTACATTTATATTAGATTATTCTAATCCAATGTTACACTCAAAAGACCTATTGAGAGAAAGAATACATGGAATGCTTCATTTGGATTTCAACATTTTCGTTTTGGTCTGGTATGAAGAAAGGATTGATTACAGGACTTGCATAGAGTGAGAGGAATATGTTTAACTGACAGTAGAAGATGAACTATTGATCATCAAGAAATGTCTGAAGCAGAATGGTTATCCGCAAATATAGTAGAACTGGAAATAAAAAATTGAAAGTTACGATTAACAAAAAGCAAATGTTTATTCGGCTTGATTTTAAAGGCGTTGATACTGCAGAACCAGTGAACAGAACACTTAAAAACTCATTAGTCAGAAAGTAACCTATAGCTTGTTTACTCATCACGTATCGAACAAATTTGTCACTGGTGCAGTTGAAAATCGATATTCATCCTTCGTTTGGTAATTTTGATCGCCTGTATAAAGTCACGTGTATCTGTCAAAGTAAATACATTGGGAGGATAAGAAAAATGGCTTAGCTCCAACATTTTGGATATGTTCTGAAAAGCTCTCGACTTCTGTGGTTCAGAATCTCACTGGAGTGATTACCAAACAATAACTAGATACAGGACACTAGCTGGTTGCTTCAGTCATTTAAAAATAACCAACAAATACAAAAAAATTCTATCTTGTTCATTTCACTGAAGCTATGGCAATCAAAAGGCTGACACCAGGTTTGTGTATCCAAAAGGAAGCAGTTGTCAACCTATCACTACCCTGGTAGTTACTGTATAAACCATTTTCGTTTACGTCATCGCCCATTGTCTTCATTATTAGTAGCAATTTTAAATTCATACTCAGTCGTAATTTTATTCCACTAAGTTCACCTCACGACAGCTGATTTCTAGATTATTATCAACTTGTCTATTCACTGAACTCACGTAATCTCTTTTCTAAATCCCACATACTTTTACAAACGCTTTTCATTTCTATTTGATGAGAATGTTCTAATAATTAACATATAAATCTAAAATATCAATATGCCTTGTCACCTTCACCTCTATTTATGTTACTTCCAATCATTTTATCGCCTTACATGTTGAACGAATCCAATGATAGACATTTTGGTGATAAACTCAAGAATATTAAGTACCTACTGTAGCTTCATACTAAATGTTCTGTATTTTGTGAGTAGATGATAAGAACCTAACGAGATACAATGATATCATGTTATTCTGCTCAATTTGAGTGTTCTTGCTCCCCTCAAGTTTATGAAGTCTTTGGCTATTGGTCTTAGTGATGTCTGTAGGTGTAGGCTACTTGGCTTAGATCCTTGAGATAACAAAAATCGGTAATTGAACACTTGGTGACGGTTGAATATCAGGTACAATAGGATTGACGTATTCACTTGGACATTGTCGAAAGTTCAAACACTTTCCTCAACTTTCATTTATTTTCTCTCGTCTCGTACACTTTTGACTACTTTGATATAATTTTTTCCGTCCACTTCTGTGCATGCTGTTGCAAAGTGTTACGATTTCAGCCGATGCACCGATAGGTTCTCTGAATAACCAGTATTTTGAATTAAGAATTATGCTGATATTATTGCAGTTGTATTTTCGACAAGTTTACTTTGGTGAGTGAACAGTAATGAACAAGATGAAGCGAGTGGCACTCTTTGATAATAAATTAAAAGGTGATGTTTATCTTTATTTTAAATCAATAGATGGAGAATACGTTTATCCGATAGCCTGTTGCCCTGTGCAGTTTTACAACTGAAGATTTTTAAACTCATTTGAAAATATGTTACTGAAATTTCAGTTACTAATCAATCAATTTATTCATTTGTTTTGTGCCATCTTTATGGCAAGATGATAATTTCAGAGAGTTCTGTGAAGTTGCAGTGTATGAGTGTTGTATAGTAAAAAGACCAATTAAGATGTAAATATCACTTGTGGGCCTTTGACTGCTAAAGAATACAAGCTTTGAATGAAGCAAGAACAGCAGTAAATAGTAGCAGGATTAGTATGCGTATATTTCGTAGATTCTCTTCAGCTGTTGATGATGAATAATATGTTATACAAGAGTTTTTTGAATTGAGATGGAAGGAAACAGATTTAGATTGACTGACACATCCTGAAGAATTTGAGTCTTAAGAGTTCACGGGGTTGACGCCTACTAAACCATGACGTCATTTTTACCGATTCTAGAATAACAATGAACAAAACCCCTTATATATACATTCTGTAAGTTGCATAGCAGCGGAGGAGAATCCACGAAATACATGCTACTTTTGTTCTTCTTGCTTTATTCAAATTTGTGAAAGTTCGTAAATGAAAACCAGCTTTATTATACAGCATAACCTGAGTGACATATCTACGATTCGTCATACCTTCGAATTAACACTCAACTGTGAGTTACTGTGACCTGAGCTGTTGGCCAGTAATTATCGGTCCTATATTTATAAGCTATGTCTGTCTATTATGCTATTAATGAGACGTATAATTTAGTCTTAATTGAAAACATCCAATCATGCTTCTTGCATTGATGTTTGTACTCATATCGACTATGGAGCGACTACTAATATGATTCGATTTAGAAATTCAGTAAATATATTTATTCAACAAGTATATTACTATTGCTTATTTAAGAATAAAAAAGAATGTGTTTGTATTATGTGTGTGGCGGAAGACGTTTTTGATCCAAAATACTGAATGTTGCACACAACGAGGGTACCTTTGCAGAGTGAAGTGAAAAAGAGAAGAATTAGCGTTTGTCACATGAAAACAACTAGGTGGCGTGTTTGAAATGATGAAAGCAAATATGAACAGGGAGTAGTAGTATTATTTACTTAATATTAAGGCACAAAACGCTTTAGTTGTGTACTTTGTTTGTTACTACGCCAAGATAAGGCTGAATAAACACTGCGTATGGTGTAGCAAGTATTCCTGTATATCATATATTTATAACCATAGGATCAAACATTTGTTGTATGGTCGTTAATTAGATAGGCTATTCCATGAATAGATGAATTAACTCCATATGATACAGGTGAATTCGATATTATATCCATTTTTGGCATTAGGTGGTCTGAATGATTTGTTGTTGTTAATGACTGTTGGTCGGGTGATATAGCTGAGTTATGAACACTTCGAGATAAATGTGAATTTACAGGGGTACATGAAGTAGTGTCTAATGAACTTTGTCCACTAATAACTGAACCACCACCAGAACATAATCCTTGTGATGATGTATGCACTGGTATACCATTGGTTAGGTCAAGTGTTGTAATCTGAGGAAGATTTGCTAATAATTGATTACTAGATGGCGAAAAAAGATAATTATGATTTCTCATGGAACTATTATTTTCAGAAGATTGGAGATTAATAGGTTCAGGTATAAAATCAGGTGGTGGAGTCTGGAGCAATTCAGAGGTTGGTAGTAGGGTAGGACATCCGCTTAAGAAAGATGAATGATCAGGTGATAACATTCGATGATTTAAGCTTGGAATGTAGGTATTTCCATTACATATCGGTTGTAAGAGTTGACAAGGTGTCAGGTTTGTACAGTATGTACCAGAAACAACAGGAACAGAACTACAGAAGAAAGAAAGAAATGAAAATTAACAAGAATAATATGATAAAAATGTACTGAACGATTTCTGTTAGACTGATAATGTATTTAAAGTAATACTTTTCAAAAGAGGATGGAAATGTTTACTATTTACGGATAATTATAATTCTCCATTGTTATACTATGTCGCTGTTATGACCGGTAATGCGACCTAACACTGTACGAACGATGCGAACCTGACGCGCAGAGTAATTGACTCTAACGCAAATCAGACCGTCAACCACCACCACAACAGTACCACCGACGTGCGAAGACAAGAAAAGATAGAACGTTGACAGCTTTTTACTGTCTCAACAACAGTCAATACAGTTGACAGTGATGCTGAATATGTACATTTCTGAATGACTTTGACAACACTAAATCCACATACAGGTAAAAATAGTTAACAACCAGTCAGAGTTCAGCTCTGAAAGCAAAGGGAAAAACCTAGTGACTGTGTGAAAACAGCCACGTAGGTTATGGGCAAAACAGCAGGCAAAAGCTATGTAAAACTAGGGTTGTATACCAGTTACATTGATCGACCTCACACAGGAGTCCATATACCAGCAGAGGTCGGTCAATGCGATCCATTATAACGGAAAATGACAGGTAAACCAACAGGTAATAATAGGTGGTTCCTGTTGTACAAGAGGTGGCTATCGTGCCTCAGTGGCCTTGTGGATAACACTCTGGCGTTTGAAATGATTGGTTTGAGGTTCCAGTCTCAGTTCCAAAAACACCACTTACTAGGCTACAGGTAAGTCCAACCGCGGAGTCCCGAACACGAAGAAACGTGCATCCTGGATTCCACTGCTAGCCACAAACAAATCAACCATTACAATAGATGTCTGCCTAAAATATAATTTTGAAATAGCTAGAACTGTTTGTTCTCATAATACTTTGTATTTCACCAGGCGAATCATTAAATCAGACTTAAGTCCCACTTTATCGACTACAAAGTATGGTGGTAAAGATAAATTTTTTCGAGCTGCTTTATCAGTTACTAACAGGTTAGAACATACACAGACTCAGAGTTTGATAACGTCAACCTGTGACATTTAAGAAGTTTTGAAGCCCTAATGAAGAATTTCAGATGAAGTGACATTTCCTGTTGTATTGCAAATGAGTTACTACGGTTTACCTCATAATTGAATAAAACGCTTAAAAGTTAATATTGAATAATTCTACTTCAGTTTACGTAACATATTCTGGTTAGCTGGAGAGTTTTACCAACATCAGAATTGTAAAACCTAGTGTAAACGTTGCGAATATATTATAAACGCATGCAAATGTATTACATCCTTCTCATTTGGCTTGGCAAGAATATGTTTATAAAGAAGCAAGTAGTGCTTAGTATAACATTGAAGGTTTGATGTTACATTCTTGAGATCATATAGTCAAGGGTATCTGCTCATTTTATCTTAATAAACACTTAAGGTTCGACGACCATTTTGTCTGCCATCAGGTAACCAATTCTAGATTACAGCATCTCATTTGTTTAGAAAAAAACTGACTGATGAACATTCACTTGAAGATATAATTATTTTATGTTATTCCATTTAAAAAAAAATGATCTTACGTATTCGCACAAAAATCTTCCTTAGACTCTTCAAAAAAACAATTTTCTGACCGATCCTTAGGTATGTTCACTGATCCCTGTAAATGATATAAACAAAGAAATGATGAAATTTTGAAATGTTTAAGGAAATTTAGAAGTAATGGATAACAGCTGAGAGAGGAAATTGACAATCACTTCCTAGTCACCTGTATAATGAGATTTATCAGTAGAGTGATGAATCTCTGATAGCTAATATGGTTAATAAAATGGGAACTTGTAAATTTTATTATTAATGAATTGAAAAGATATTACGACTTAGCATCGGAACATTTCTAAATTATTAGCATTCCTAGACAGTTTTGGTTCTGCTTGAATGTTTTTAGTCACTTGAAATCTCACTAACCAGTAAACACAGATGTTTATCAAGTAAACGTTTTGACTAGATTACTGATTGCTGAGTCTACCTTAGTCAGTTACCTCACCTAATGAAATTCTTTGAATTTATTCAAGTAATTTTGTTGACAGTATCAGTTTTTGTTTGTACATATTGCCTACAAAATTGAACTGGACTTAGGTAGTACTAGCCGAAATGAATTTTTTAAGTTGAGCAAGGCAATAATTTTTCCCTAATAAAAATTTACTTTCGATGCTTGTACGCAGATGCTCTAATATTTTATTTATAGTATACGTTTAATCTGTATCTCAGGATAACTTGTGCAACAGAACAGCTAATTGTACATGATGAAGTTAATTTTTGAAATGATAAACCATTATCTACTGTACAAGGCTATGCGAAGAAAACTGTTAGTATTTTCAACTTATTCTGTATTATACGTAAGCCATCACAACCGTTTTATTTACGGTACATAAACAAACTAAGCGAGGAAAGCATAAATCGGGATAGTCAGAATTCTTCCAAGGGTCCTCAGTGTTTAGAGTCGTTTGACGTCGGTGTATTTAGTAGATATAACATATGCTTTGGTCTCATTCTATTTTTCTGACCAACATTAGTGGACGGTAGATTCCGGCTAGTGTGTACGTAAAATAACAATTTAGCGGTTGGGAAGTGTATGCTATTACGTTAAAGATCACGGATCGACTAGTGGACCCTACTGATAAAAACCGGCAATCGTAAAGTTTTAGTTTACATTCGCTCCTAGTAACTTATGATGTCAGTGTTAATAGATTCACATAGTCATGTGATGAAACACCCATGATCAAATATCAAAACCAGATCATCAAAAGTATTAAATATGATCAGGTATTCGAGAAGAGCAGCTTACCTGATCCGTAGCATCTAAACCATAACGATTAAATGATTTACTCAAACTAGGATTAGTTGAATAACAATGATACGGATCTTGACGATAATGCATACTTGGTGAACAGGTGCGTGTAACAAAATCTGAGTTCATTACACCATAATCTTGTAGAGAATTTCTTGATGGTTGTGTATTACGGTTACCTGAATCAAAGCAGAAAATAATTAAGAGATTCAATTACATTTAGAAATTTGTAGTGAATCTTGTCTCCAACAGATATAATTTAGTTTACCTAAACCACAGATGATATTCCACTGGGACTGATAATATTAGTGGTTTGCTTCCAATGTTATGAAGTATCTCGATAATGGAAATGGAAGTTAAAACTTCATCTACACTAGATCATTTATTCTAGTGTACTCAGAGTTTTGAGGGACTAAAGATTCCAAACAAACTCCTAGTATCTTTTGGATACCGCATCTCTATCCATTAACAGCCCAACCGATTATCATTTGTTGACAATGTAACCCTTTTGAGTTGCTTAAGATATTCAATTGTTATTTTGTCATCTGCATGAAAACCTTACAATTTCCATTCTAAAATGAACTTGGTAGGGTAAATTAGTGGTATAACTGAGCCTATTTTTGCAAACAAGATGAGAAGAGAGATTACCAATACAATATTTCATGAAATGTATATATTGCTTATTGTCACTGAATTCAAATTGTTTAATATCTTCAACAATGTACAACAAACATATCCTTTTTACAATAGGATAATAATGGTGAGGCTAAACGTTATCCCCAAGTGTTGTCGTGCTTGTTGTGGGATATAGCTGTGCGCAAATTCGCATATTCTCAGTATGTTGTATATATATTTTACTTTTTTTATAGTTTCGAAAACGCCCTCTGTTACTGAATCATATTTCATGGGGTTTATTCATGTAAAAACTATTGGTTACATTTCCACCTCCTATTTGGGATGTAAGTACATTTGTTTATGAAGAATGATGCTCACAAAATCAAAGTAAGTTAATTGAGCCTTCAGACTGAAGCGATAAGAACTTACGATTAGAGTTTTCACTTCACTTTCACAAAACAGAAAAATACGCATTTTCACACAGAACACTATACCACCTGTGGATAACTTTTAGCCTCACCCCATAATTACGTGTCAAATACTTGAACTTCCTCGACTGAAATGTTATATGATTGCACAACAGAATGATTTAAATGAACAATTTATTGTAAGAAAGTGTGGAATGTATTGAAATTAAAACAATACAGCTTTTAAACAGTCAAATCAAGAATTCTACTATCAGCACATTCGGTTTTAGTAAGCTAGTATTCATTCGTTTAGCACATTCAGTGGACATACCATCTTATGGAAGTTTAGCAAAAGACTGAGAATCACTGTTATGGAAACACACTTAACCGCTAAACGTATTTCCCTACTAACAAAAGGTGCATTGTACATAAACCGGTCACTTCCTTTCACCTTCAATAGTATCTAGCGCACTGATATTAGGAGTGGCATACTCAACTTGAGACCAATAATAACACCGTTTTTATGAGGAGGAGTAAGCATTTATCCAAATTGCTTGAAACTTCAACATCCTATAGTTTTCTGAAACCATACAGGTCCGACAAACCTCCGTGTATCACGTTAGACTTGGGTACTGTAGCGGTAATTAATAGACAAAAACTTTTCATGCGTACTCCAGTTATATAAGAGAGTCAGTACAAGTTTGAAAAACTCTACGATGGTATCTCCAACTTTAACCGTTAATGACTTAGTTTCAAGCCATGGGCTTCTTCAAGGTTGCCGATAAACCCTTACGATGAATGTTATTAAGCTCGAAATACAGGAAAACGACTTTCTGATGGCTGATTTTAAGAGTTTGACGATAGAAAGTCTGCTTGGATAATGTGTATTGACATCGTTCAAGTTCTGCCTAGACTTTTCGTAAAAAGGTTAGTCAAAGTTTTCGGAATTTTAATGTGAGAAAAATGTGACTAAACTGACAAAATATCATTTCCTAATTAAACTTTTATTTTTGCTGAAAGACATCTATAGTCTGTGCAATAAAAATGCTGTCTATTCTCACTCAATCATTGATACAAGCAAGTATTTATTTCTCGATGTAACATGCGAAGAACACTGTATGAATGTTATTTAATGAGTTTTTCTCTAGTACTAATTAATTGAATTGTTAGATCTTAAACAATGAAAGAATAAGATCTTACCGAAGATGAATGATAAAATTATATTAAACAGTTGATTGAATAGTAATTTTACTAAGTACCCTGTTTTTAATCTAGAGAAGTCAACCTATTCTTCAAATTCGATTCGTGTACATCTATGAGTGAAATATTTTGATATCAACTTACCTTTATTATAACGGAAACCACATACTCTTTGACGACATATGCAAAGAAGAATTAATCCTACTATTAACAAGATACCAACAGTCACTGCTGCACCAATAATAAATTGAATTGGGATGTCTTCTAAAATAGAAAAAAATTATTTACAATGTATGAAGTAGTATTGACAATGCAAGCTTGTAAGGAATCAACCAGTAAACACTAACATGATTATCAAAGGTTTAAAACAAATAGTTTCCTTAAGGAATCTCAACAGTTCAATAGGAATATACCATATTTGCGGAATAAGCTTAGAATAGTTCTGTCATATAGGTACTTATGTTGTATATTTCCATCAAGGATAATAATTTTAAAGAGTGAGCAAATGAGAGGCGGTCAGATGAGAAGACCACAGTAACAATGAAAATCAGTAAATTAGAAATAATAATGTATTGACCTTATTTTCAAAGGCAAATTTACTAATTATGGTTTACTGTGATTACAAATTTTTTCTTGGCACCTAAATTCGACCTGAACTTTGTAATGATCAAGTTTCCGACAAATCTGAGGATACGTACCAAGTATGTTTTGTAAATTGGCTTACAACAGATGCATTTGGACGTTTGTTGCTGCTAGCGTTGATGAAACAAAATGATTCAATCGGTTGTTACAGACGCCTGATGATGTATTTTGATGCGTTTTCTTGCAAGGATCGATGAGTCCTCCTTATGGATATGTACCTAAACGTACACTACAAATAATAGATACAGTAAGATTTGACATCATCGTTTACATGCTCTGTTGAATTAAAAGGATATGTGGACTTGATGTTTTCAGTTATCCTGCCTGTTCTTAGCTGCGTTGTATATCTTCCTAATGGCAATGTTGAGTTTGTCTAAACATGAAGTCTTGTATGTACTTTAATATTGGAGCAGAGCGACCCTAAAGTCATAGTCCTCTACACTAGTAGTTATTTTCATGCAAGTTTTCGACCACCAATTTTATTTCCTTCTGTAAAGTGTCCTCTGTGCATATTTATTGGATCCTGTTGAATAATCACCCAAAACTCGTTTGTAAATAAACTGACAGAAATTGTGATAATTTAGATACTATTTTGTCGAGGTCGGTCTCCTATACATAGAACGTTCTATTATCTTTCACATAGGATAAGTACATGTGTGATCCGACTGTTGAAAATGTGTGGCATAAATGGATTATATAATTATGCCTTTATTTGTTAAAGACATACAAACTGGTGAGACAGTTTCAGATATAACCTTTGTCCACAGTCATGTCATGATAACTTCAAAACTTTAAGGTCTGGTAATGACAGTTCTGATTTCAGTACCTGTGAATGCTTTCTAGACACTTACGTGGTTATTACTAGTTCAAGATGGAACCAACTATTCCACTTTTCATGATTCGGTGTACCATCCCTCTACAAATCTATTTTCTACCTGAAGGAATTGAATACCAATCTGTCTCTCGTCGGGTAGTAGATAACATATATGTTGACAATCATTTATCTGGCTATTCTGATTTCACTGACAACTTACGACTTACATGTTTTGTGCATGTGAACTACAACAGATGACTCCGGAGGCAGTGACCCAGTTCTTAATTTCTTCACTCATCATCAAGAGACAAATAACTATTGAACCATTCAGGTCACAATACAGGTAGCAACTTACGGTTAGGGAACTTTTATTTTCAAACGGAAAAGTATCTATCAGTCAGTAGTGTATAGAAGGAGAACTATCTATCAACCAATAATATGACGACTATTTTGAGAAAGTAGCTTTAGCAAACGAGAATGTAATCCGTGGAAATAAAGTTGTCCGAGCTTCGTGTAATTGCTTTCTTCAGCTGCCTTCTTCATACTAACATTATTAGTTGCGCTTTAACCAACCACTTAATGATATTTCGCAAGTGACAAAACATAAATCTCTCTAAATCAGCTCGATTTACACTGGGTCAAAGCCATCTGTTCGGAAAGCTATTGAGATCGATGAGAAACATATCATTCGTTCATATGAGAATTAGGTCCTATTCTCTTTCAAAACAAAACTAACTTAGCATTTAGACCTTGTGACCTATTCCTCAGCCTGCTTGGTCAGTAGGCAGAAGGCTACTAGTTCGAGTTGTGCTACTTGTCACGCTTTTGTTCGACAGCAACCATCATCTCATTATTTAGTTCTGTTAAGTGAGGTTGACACGATCGAAATAATGTTGGTTTATGCTGAGTTTACATAGGGAAAAAACCGATTTTTCTACATCCTGGTTGTAGTGATCTAACAATAACAGCTTAATGACTGCGAAAGACATTCAAGACTGAACTCATTTTGATAACTACCGTTGGGACACTTAAAATAACCTCCTTTCTAAAAGTTGGTGTTCTGTTGACAAATACTGAGTGACAGCATTTCAATGAACTTAGAAAAAGTGAAAAAACCTGGATCAATAAACGACAGTTGATCACAAACTATAATCTTCAATGTATCCGAATTCGGTAGGTTGTCCTTCAGTCACCTTTTTTTAGAAATTATGAGGCTTATTTGAAAACTGGTGTTCATTATGCGTAGAAGTTTGTAACACCCTGCTTGAAAGAATCTATTCCTGTTTTGTCAACCCTAACATCATTCAATTCATTAAAGTACACTATTCAAATCAACAATATGAAGTTGCGATTGATGACCAGGTTCATTTTGCTTTGGCCGAACAGACGCTGTCATCTACCTACAGCTATACGATATCGAAAGTGAGAATTCATAAACTTTTACTTTATGTGCAAGTATGTATGTAAGTAAAGTTCATCAAAATAATACACCATTAATGATTCGACTAGACAGGAATACTGATGCATAAATGAATACGACTTAAATAACATACAGTTATCGCTTCAACTTTTCACCACTACTTCATCGACTTTGGAAAGGCCTTTGACAGCGTCAACCGAGAAGTAATCTGGCAGCTACTTCAACACTACGGAATACCACAAACCTTTATCAGTCTCATTCAAAAGCTATATAAAGACGCCAAATGCCAAGTGATTCACAATAGAAAGCTTACTGTCGCCTATGAAGTGAAGTTAGAAGTAAGACAAGGCTGGCGCCTACTATCACCGATGATCTTCCTGATAGTGGTCAACTAGATCATGCAGCAAACTGTAAGGAGCGAGAAGAGGTGCATACGCTGGACCGATGAAAAGAGCCTAGTGAATTTGGATCTCGTTGACGATGATTTATATCTAATATCTTGTCGCACAAACTCGAATACGTACATGCGAAAACCAGCAAGTTGACAGAAGAGGCGAGGCAACAATGACGGAAGTTCAAGTGAATGTAGAGAAGACAGAGGTGATGAAGATACCCAACCAACAACGGCATCAAAAACAAGCATCAGTCACCATGAATGGGAGAAACCCAAATGAAGTTGTTTCTTTCACCTACCTAGACAGGCAGCATCGTTTCAACTGTAGGCGGCACAGGCACAAATGAGAACGTCAAAGCCAGGATCGGAAAAGCAATACAGGCCTTCATCAATCTGAAATCAGTGTGGAGATCTACTGCACTCAACTCAGCATAAAGAGCAAGATCCGGATTATCAACACCAATGTCAAGTCAGTGTTTCTATGTGATGGTTGAGAGACTTGGCGTGTCACGAAAAGCACTTCCAACAAACTATAGACACTCATCAACAGCTGCCACCTACGCTGGCTCGATACTAAAGATTAGATAGCCAGAATTATAAGAATAAGCAGCGAGGCACTCTGGCCTGACAGCGAACCAACCAACAACCTATCGCCCAACAACTATGAAGAAGGAAGTGGAGATGGATTGGGATACAGTGAGAAAAGCATTCGGGGACAGCACGTGCCAGGCCATCGAGTGGAATCCAAATGGGAAGCGAGGAGTTGGGTGTCCGAGGTGAGGGTGACATGGAAGAGATCGTATGAGGAAGAAATGAGAGCTTATGGGCAGTTGCGGAGCCAGATTCAAAGGACTGGAGAGAACAGAATGGAACGGGGATGTGCTATTGAAGCCCTATGTTCCACTAGGAACCCAAGGGATAAATAATAATAATAATAATAATAATAATAATAATAATAAATTTTCGATAAATGATAACATTTTTAGGCATAGATACACATAAATTATTCTGAAATTTTACAAACCTTGATGAATGAGTCGTATTAATTTCCAGTCAGATCCATAACCATTACTCACAGAACAATTGTACTGACCGAAATCACTCATCATTACATGTGCTATATGAAGAACAAGTACTGCACCTCCGATGAATTCTTCTTGTTCAAATTTATGACTGATGATGAAATAAAAAGAACAAAAATCATTATGAGTAAAACAACCATTAATTTGAAATGAAATTTTATTAAAATTATACTTATTAATGAAGTACTGAAAAAAAACCTTTATAGTGGTATTTTTCTTAAGTATTTGTCCAATGTTTGAGTTAGTGTACAGCATCCCTTGAATGTTAGCTAGTAATAATCACTTTATTCCAGGCAATATGTCTGATATATTATGGAATTCTCAGCATGTAATATTCCAACAAATCTATTCGTTTTGTAATATTTTTGAAACAGATGATTATAACATTTCAGTAACGTTAATAATGACAACAGTATTACAAGCGGTTATATGAAACAACTAGTTATTTTTAAGTTATCGTCTGATTTTAAGTGGGCACTGAATAGAAAACTGTACGTAAGTTTAGTACTGGAGGTTCATTCAGGTAGTACGAATATCTGCAATTTGAGCTAACTATTTTAGGAATAGTAATATGATGCACGATCGCACATTTAGAAGTCTACTGCTATCACTATAATGACAATTTTCTTTCATTTTATTGATAAATTTCAAAATGGCTGGTTGAAAACATTTTAGGACGTATGAGATTATATAATACGATTTTGATGATTAAAATAATTTGACAAGAAGTGATTCATTGTAGTATATTCAGCAGAAAAGTGCTTCTTAGTTCAAGGTTCAAGGAGCTCAAGCAAAGAATTTACACTCTTGTATAAATCGAATGTGATCTTCCAGTGACTTTTATAAAAAACAAGTTGTATTCCTTATGACTTCAGCAAGGGTCCCAAGAATTTGAAAATGCTGTTGAACAGCATATATGATTGCTTGATAGAAAGATTCATAGTAATATAAACATTGAGCTGTCGTTTGATACATTTAAGCAGATTATATAAGGTTTGCTTACTTGATTCTTATTTCGAAATATAAGTCAGCATATGAGTAGGCGCTCTGGTTCTAAACACATCCTAGCTTAGCTTCGAATATGAGAATCTGTTCTGTAGTACATAAGTCATGTTAATCCGTGTACGGAACGCTGTTTGCTGATGTGAACCCTACTCTTTAAGTGCTTAGAGATATACGTCATTCAGAAAACTAGCATTCTCACAGTTATTAAGACTTTTCAGATATCTACATAATATAAGTATGATATTCAGTGAGGTAGTAAATAACTCGTAAAATAACGAATTACCTGTGACCGGAATGTATGCAATTCATTCTCGATCAAACAGCTTTAATGGCCAACTTTGACGATAAAGAAACTAATCCATCAGGATTGATATTACATTTCAGCGTGTACAATGCCATGTAGTTGGATAGGAAGTTGAATAATTAGCATACACTTTTATTTGAGTATCTCGTGTAATGAAGGGTAACCAGTCGGTGCACCACTAGTGCTCCTTTTGAGCTGTCAATACCGATTATAAAAATGCTGAAGGTTGCACTTATGAAGTAACTGAAAGCAAATATTCTGATAGCATTGGACCGTTTGATCTTAATTATTATTAATTATTACTATTAACTATTCAATGGCAGATCTGCCATCATCATTCTAGACTGTACTATCGACAAAAATTATCTAATTTAGATCAAAAAAGACTGTCAAACCAGCATTCTGAGTTACAAACTTTATCAGTAATCACAATGTCACTAGGTTTAACAGTCATCTAAATTCCTTTTTAACATTTTGTTACTTTGATAAAAATATATCTCAGTTTTATTAATAACTGCGTATCATTTGTGGAACCGACATTTTCTCTGTTCTTAGACAGACTAACTTTCCTATCTGCCTGCTGCGCAACATATATATTGCATTCACTATGAAGTGATTTAGGTAGTCAGATGAAGGTTACTCATAAGTAGTGTAACTTTTTTATCAAAGAATTTCCGAAACCGATTGTTGATATCACTTGCTACCATACAAATAAACTAGTTTATAGGGAACTGGTTAAAAGACTATTATCACGGATTGGCATCAGCTCGAATGACATTGAAAACCGGGCAATATTTTACGTCCGCCTGAATTACTAAGTAATATACTGTCAGCAAATCTAAAATGAACAGAAGAAGCCTAGGATTTCTCTGCAATCATGTTACTTAACCTTTGAGTTAGGATGCAATAGTCTGTGTTTTCCAACTTCATTCGATTAGCAGTATGATGTGATAGTCATCTAATGTTGCAGGCGGGTACCTAATATATATATATATATATATACATATATATATATATATATATATATATATATATATATATATATATAAGGCTTTCTCTCATGTCTCTCTCACGTTAACCGAAATAATATTAACCATTTAAAACGATAGCTAAATTATTATAGAATAAATAGCAGAAGTACTGTTTTTACATGAGTATGTGTAAATGATTTGAAGTGTATCAACTCTATAGAAATACTATTGTCAAACAGAAAATAAGCAGAAAACATTTTATCAAACAATCAGTATAGTTACATGATTATGAAAATAATGAGAGACGAATGAATCTTATGAAGAGTAAATGTAAAAGGAATCAAGCGACATATGTACATGTATATAAATATATGCAAATACAATTGAACAGCAAGTATTTACTCATGTTATCTGTTTCACTATAGAGTGAATAGAGAACCTACTAATATTCTGTATAGTGAAAAGGGTAGAATGAAAATAATCCAACTAACTAAAAAGTCCAACTTTTTGAGATGATTTGGAAATGAGTTTCATTCTGAGCAGTTTGGAATCAGTTTATATAATATCTCTATTTCAGTCACACAGATCTTTGGGACTCATGAAGCACTGAGTAACTTTTCCTTTTTATTCTAAGACATTTCAGGAGAATTCGACAGATTAACGAGTATATTACTCATCATTGAATTTTAATGCACTGAGTTGAACGAAGACAGGGTATACTACCTTGGTGAGGAAAGTAAACTTCATTATTAGTCTGCATTGCAGTCGATCACTGAGACAAACTAATCTGAACTAAACAAGAGAAAACTGTCCTACTCATCGTGTGGTGATGGACTCAGGAACTGGATCTTTGCCTTGGAGCTACTTTTTTGTGGAAAATATACATGTCAGATAAACACAGTATCGTCAAGACCACTGATAAGAAACAATGGAACACTTATATAAACTATCTTGACGGTCACTACGGTTTTCCACTATATGTTTACTACAGCTAACGCGGTACGTAGGAACACATACTGTTCTTTTCAGTGCAACATATATTACGGTTACCCTAGTCGGTATAGATTCACATTATCATGCAATCATCAGTCCTTATTCGTCAGCCCAAAGTTAAGAAGAGATAGTTAGAATATTATTATTTTATAGAACAAATCTATAGTCGTCTGTTATTACAATTTGCAGTTTTGATGCCCTTTATGCAATACGGAATCATCTGAGCAAATAGTGTAAATTCAGTATCCATGGAGATTCAGCGAAGGATCATGCCTTCTTACCTGTTAGCGAATATTATACCTATATCTACAGTTTTGTTGAGATTAACACTGTAATCCCCAGATATAAGATGAATAAACAGTAGGTGACCTGGTATGGTAAGCGGTAGAATTCTCTACATCATGAATGCTATTTCATAAACTTAACAGATATACAATGATTACAGTGTAAGGAGTAAGTCAAATTGTAGAAGAGATAATTTGGGAGAAAAAGTTATCAAGGTGCTTAGCGAAAATTTCAGATATTTGTCAACAAGGTAATCTCTAAAGTCTTGACGAAACTTGTTTGGTCTTCAAAATTCAAGTGCAAATAATACAACTCTCAGAACATAAACATTACTACTTAGTTGATTGGAACACAAAATGTTGTTATCTGAAGACGATTTGTACTCATAATAAAGTTCAGCAGAGGTCAGTTGCGGTCTTATTATCTTCTCTCCGACTAAAGTGTTACATCCTTCAGGTAAGAACTATCAAAATAACGAAAGCAGGCGAGGATGATTACTAATTTTCAAAATTCTTCTTACCTAACTGAAGGAATACAATCCATCATTTTGTAAATTTTAATAATAATAATATGATGTATCCGGTATCTTATTAATGTTTAGTGAACTTGTACGGCTCGTTATCCTGGACACACCATAAGGAGCTTTGTCGTCATAGCAAAAGAACTGCTATCACTGAGTTTGATGGAAGGTGAATTGAAGATTATTAACTCTTTCTAGTCACATCTAGTCGATTCTGTTCCTGCTATTGACATTCGATCAACCTTCCTGGCAATTTATAAGATATCTAACCATCTAACACAGGTGGCATGAATTTGTCTTCAATAAACAGCTTGGACTATCAACATTAAGAAAGTGATGGGAGAGATATGTCCAAAAAAGCTGGTATTATCTTTTTCTTTTTTTAACGTTACATTACTTCTCATCTTACATAGTTCAATTAAGAACTACTGATTATGATTATATGAACTGAATTTCTAAAGTCTTCTACTGTTCTTCACCTTTAATAGCTATGTGTCACATCGATATAATGGAATAGCGCAAACTACTGTGGAATGTACTGAAACCTGGACAAGCGTTTGGATATCACGGTGGTAGTGTAAATGGCTTAATCTGGCAGACATCAAGAAAGCTTATTTTTTGTGCAGAGATATCGTCGGTCACATGGGCTTTTCTGACTTTCTTATTGTTAAGCCGGAAGCAAAGACTGACAAGTCTTGGAGAAACAATGCGTAACTGGATGCCAAGAAATGCATCCCAGACACTCTCAAATTATCACTCAAAGTATGCAACAAACTCCGAATCATATCTCTGTCTTTATCTAACGAAACTGCGTCATCTGTATGCTGTAAATCTATTAAAGAACCTCTTGTGACAAGGTGAATTCCCGTGAAGTCAGACGAGGAGATAGAGAGCTACAAAATGCATCTATGAAAAGTATGGAAGGAGTAGATGAGCTTTACGGACACCGCTCGACATACGTGACTCACCTGACACCTCACCATAGGTTCTGCGACAACAACTGGTGTTCAGATACAGAGTCTTAGGCGAAGTGACGTATTTAGACAGCACCGGTTCCAGTGAGAGGCACTGTCATAAGAGCCTTCCATTGAAAAGGTTGAATATCGTCTTCAGGTCGAGAAGTACGGTCACTGTTGGGAGTCAGTAAATGTACCTATGTCATAGGACCCGTCAGAGGGTGAATATCTGGTCGACATATCCACAGTAAGGTCTTAAACCTGCCCAATATTTTCGTGTCTCATGATCCTGAGCTTCACTTAGGTGTGTAATAATTATAGAGCCGAAGATCATAGACGCTTTGTTCATCAGAAAAAATCCTGTGCAGTTATCATAGTATGATTTCTCCCTCTTTTCGAAAACTTGGATGATCAGTGACTGGTACAAGTCAGAAGGTGTCATATCTTATTCCCGTACACTCGTTGCGACTTTACGCAACCGATAGTCTCCAACAATCTTCTTTAAATAACTTTGATACTAGCCCATCTTGACCTGATACCTTCCCTTGTTTTAGGTCATTTACGGCCCTTCCAACTCAAGTGAAAGTTGGAGAGCCTATCTCCGTGTTCCATTCTAACTAGTAGCAAGCAACTGAAGATTAGCTGGAGTTCAGTTGAACTATTCCTAAGAGTGCTCTCTTATTCGTTTGAGTCATCTCCACAAATTAGTCTTAAACCTATCCTTCTCCGCTGTAGTTTCACTAACCACTGACTTTTGAACCCCAGTTTCCCACATCAGTCAAAAATCGCAATCTACTGTCACCTGTTGCTGCTACTGCTCAAGGTAATTGTGTAAACTCGCTGTCAGTTTTCATTTGAGTTGCTTCCGCTTCTCATTATGCTCTGAGTTTTCAGGAATGTTTTCACTTGCATCCAATGTTTTCGAAGAAAATGTTGGGACATACTGACCATTTCTAACCTCTTTCGGAAAATCTTCTAAGGTTCTTAAAGGTGTTCTTACAAAGGACAGGAGATGACACCAAGTTCCTTCATGATTATTGACATTATCCTTTCTGATAACTGGCTAGTCAATTTATCATCAAAAGCGGCCTTTGTATTCTCATCGACCAAACTGATCTTGGAATGATCATGTCACCATAATTTTTCTACATCCATCTAGATGCAAACATACACGTGATTACTGTCTGGTTCATGACTGTTTTGCGTTTCTTCCTTCTTTTCCCTGTTGTTCTGTCTCACTTTGAAGAATTCTTTACCTTATGTCTTTAGCCTATCATGAGATATATGCCTCTTTTATATTCCCTTTTGGTTCACCTTGAACACAGCTTGACTGTTGTACCGCTGACGTACTCCCTTTAAAATGCGATAAACCTGCATTCACCTCATGACTGGAGGTATGTAATCTATTATTCATTATTGTTTATTCATAAAGAACCCTACTATAGACATATTTTGCGTTCTGAATTTTACGCGCAAGTTAAGCGTTTGATTTATTGTTGGAGAATCACTTGGTTCCTAATCTCTTCAAAGGAAATTGACCAATATAAATCGTGAAACTTTTTTGTAATTTTTCACTTATGCTATGACACATTCATGCATGATATACTTCGTTTAATAATCCATGTACTTACTGTGAATCTGGTTGAATTGGATTACCATTAAAATACCAGTGTGTCTGACCAGAAGGTGGAAGAGGAACTGAATTCACTGTGCAACGTAGTCTTGCTGGTTGACCTAAATGAGCATGAACTATTGGGTTCGGTTGTATACGAGGAGGTTCTGTAATATAAGTAAAGGAAATTACTTTAATATTTCATACTAACATTGGAAGTAAATAATAATAAAAATATTTTTGTCTGGAAAATTTAGGGAATAATTTAACATTACCGATCAAGAAAAATGTTAACTAAAACGTTGGTGCCTACTTAGAAAAAAAACAGGATTCCTGCTAGAAGTTACAACCACTTGTAATTTATACAACTGTAAGGCTTCAACTTGTTACCGGATTGTATAATTACCTTTCACTGGTGCCAATATCATGAAAAATTCTTATCTTTTTAGTCTACTAAACTTGCCTAGTAATTTCACTTGGTATTCATAACTTACAGATGCATAACAATTCCTCATCACTACTGTGCTACACATCAAGACTCATTATTAACTTTCCTTTGCTAACGTTAATAAATATATAACAATAAGAAATGAGCCACTGCATATTTATCAGTCAGTAGAGTTGAACCAGTGCGATTCCGTCTGATTTAAAAGAGCAACCCAGGTCTCACCGTGCAATTTCATATATGACAGTCAAGTCAGAAAGCTTACCTACGTTAAGTATCTACCTGGAAACCTTTACAATTCTGAGGGTGAATGAGTTACTTCGTGGTTGCAAGAACGTTTCACTGATGAGGATTAACAGGTATAAAACACACGCTCATAGTTTTTGGCGATTGTCTAGAAACGACATGAGCGGTTGTAAAATTATGCTGGCTATAAATTTAACGATAGATAAAACAGATTCATTCAGTAGGAATTTGACCTGGTTCAATACTTTACAGGTGCCCATTTCGACGGCATTTAACAGAAGCAGTAGCAAATCACTAAAACGTACATTAGCAGATTTACGATTCTACTCAGAGGGAGAAAACAAAGTGGTGAAAGAGAAATCTAAAACGTTGAATTCTGAAACGAAGTTTTTTCCCATGGGCATTATTCAACACAACAGATCTACTTCTAAGATTGGCCATATCTTTAATTTGAAGATTCTTAGAAGTGAAACCCTTTTATAATTTTCTAGTCGACCAATCGCTTTCACTCAAATGAAAAAATGTACCCAATTTCGAAACAATTAGTCTGTTTAATAAATTTCGATAAGGCTCTTAGAAGAAAATTATCTGATGATCAGATAATCTTCGTACCCAATTTTACCGATTCTATAAAAGGTTATCACTTCATATGCTCACATACGACAACCAAGTAAACAACAATGAACCACGACCAGATGAAGACCGGTCGTCTGTATCAGTAGTATGTGAAATAATGCAAAAGAAAAGCTTGGGCACTTGTGTACAGTATAATTCCAAATTAGATTGTTTACTTGATTGATATAGCACACAGTGATACGGTTCTATTTACTGGATAATATTTCGAGTAGAATTTATAGCTCACCTTTATATCAGGGTAATCATACGACTTTCAAACTTTCTTTATATAGTCCAACAGTTCTACATTCTTCTATCCTGAAGGCAGTAAAATTTTCTAATTATCTGCAATATGTGATGAGTCATTCTTGCTTCATATGTTAGGTGTTGATTCAATGAACAAAGATTCTGTGACCAATCTCTACCTCTACCCAGCTATATTGGATTTCAGTAATGTCACCATACCCTACCCCACCCCAAAGTATCTTTAGGGGTCAGTGCAACCAGAGTGATAGCCGAGTTTTCCTCAGAATCACTTAGCAGGGTCTACAACCAACCTACTGTGTTCTGTTATTCTGACTGACTCAGATCGGTTACTTCAACCTACATACTTGACCTCTTAATCACTACATGGTGTCTGATAGATTAGCTTATTTTTCCAAATTGGCTGCACTGGATTTTTAAGCCTACAAATTTTCTTTCTGAGTGAGTTTATAGGTTTAAATGCCACTCTTATCCTAGCTGCATCAGGAATTCTATATAAAATTTTCGATGTGCCTTCTATATACGGCAACACTACGGAGGATTGAAATTCCCCTCTAGGCATGCTCCAATCACCACTTACATAGGCGTTCCTTCTCTTATCAGTCCTCATAAACGTTTGATGAATTCCGAAGGGTAGTTATTAAGAAGCAGTGTCTCACTGATGTGTTTCATTTCTTTATCTAGGTTTCCTGACTTACTAGTCAAACTCCCAGCCCTATTACATAAACATCTTATCAAGCTTACCTTGACATATATGATGATGTAAAACCCAAGTATCTATTTGAATATGTTGGTTTTCTACAAACAGTGGCATCTAACTTTCCACCTTCTCTCCGCTTGAATTCGCAATCCAACTTGGATAATTCTCATTCTTCATTTTCTAATTCATAAGTGAATTTGATTGCATCTACTATTGAGTTGGTGTGTGCGAAAAAATTCTGGACGTGTTCGGATTTCAACACAGTAAATGTAATTTCTATATGTCTCCACCATACTTTTTAGATGGTTTTAAACGGGTCCTAAAACTAGTTGTTCCCAGCTGTCCATAAACATATCTGCTACGATTAAGAAGGATATTGAAGATTCCATCGCTACTCCTTCTCTTCGTTGATATATCTTGTCTTGAAACTTGAAAACTATGGAAGTGAAACAAAAACTTAGCTCTAACATAATTTCTTCAGTAGAAACTTTAGTTGTAATACTGAGTTCATGGTCAGTTGCAAGTTCATTTCTGTTTGCTTCACGTAACATATTAATTGGTATCTTTATATAAAGGCTGATCACATCAAAACTCATCATCTTTTCTCCCTTCTCTAGTTGTGTATTACTAACTTTCCGTTTAAATTTAAATAAATTGGTGAGCCGAGATTTTGAGTTATTTTTAATACGGCTAAAGTTTCTAAAATCATCCACTGACCTAGTAGGATAACCTGCTTTATGAACCTTAATATTACTGTATATCTTGCTAGGGTTATTAGTTTTAGGCATTTAAATCGACCTCCGGGATTCACCTATAGATAGCTTCATTCGGCATATTAGATCAGCTATGAACTTCTTAACTACATTCATAACTGTGTGAACGTTATGATTCACTACATATTGGAGATATCCGGAAAATTTAACTACAAGGTAAAAGAATGAAGAACTGTTGGACTATATGAAGGAAGTTTGTAAGGTAGATGATTACTTTAATATAATATGACCAATAATTTCTGCTCGAAAAGTCATCCAGTAAATAAAACTGTATAACTGTGTGCTATATCAATCAGATAAACAATCTAATGTGGAAGTATATCAAATCAACTAATATGGGTGCGTCCAGATCACTTTTAATCACGTTTGTTCAGTTGCCCTTTAATATTTGTACATAATGGTCTTTAAGTAAAAGTAAAACAGGTTTTAAAATTTCAGTTTCCTGTAGATATCTGTCTGATTTTTAATTTAAGCTGTGAATCGTTTAGGTATCTATTTTTGTATAAGTGATGGTTTTGATACATTGTTCCAAACTACTTTCAGGAGGGAAAAAACAAAGTGTACATCTCTTGTAGGTTGAAAAAACATCTCAGTGGAAGGGTCCTTGTAGTAAATTATTCAGACGATTATTTTAGTTATAATAATTTGGTTGGTTGTGGGTAGCACAAAATTCTAGGACCTGCATTTCGTCCTATTTGGGACTCGTTAGCTAGATGTGCCTGCACCTTAGTGATTGATGTTGTTCCCACTGAGACAACTACCTGTTGTACAAGAAGTGGCTATCGTTTCTCTGTGGCACGGTGAATAACACCTCAGCGTTTGAAGCGGCGGGTATGAGGTTCGAATCTCAGTGGGAACAACATCAACCATTAGGGTGCAGGTGTATCCAGCTGACGAGTCTCGAACAGGACGAAAAGCGCGTCCTGGATTCTTCTACTGCCCACAACCAACCAGTTATCATAATTAACATTCAGGCAATATCGAGGCATTGAAATATGAGCCCATATGCCAATAGGGGTCGAACAATTCGATTCAACAAAACAACGGAGAATAACAAGTATGTCAATAAATAGTAATTATTTTAATGTTTAGTTATCAAAAGTACAGTATCTAATTTCTAAGCTATCAAGAAATTCAAGCATAAATTTATACAAAGATGACAATAGATCATCTGAACTGTTCCAGTTTACTGGCTTTGGAAATCTGTTACTGGAAGCCATTTAACCAGGGTATGCACCATACACAATTTCCAATAACAACTATGTGTGACATCCGAACTTACTTTTTCTCGGCCATAATGTTTAAGTTAAGTATAATACCGAATGCACACTGCAATGATTAGTATGTCAGTCATTGGTTAATTTATGCTTCTTCTTACAGTCTAATTAGTATTTCTGTGTCATGTAAAAGGAGATCAGTATTGTAGATTAGAAAAGCTTAGTCAGACAGCCATCCAATCAATCCATCAATCAATTTCCAAAAGAAGACACAAAAAGTTTGGGTTTTCCGTCAAAATGAAAAATATATATTCAATGTTCTTATGAGAATTTAAAAAAGTTGAAAGTCTTTACACCATGAAATATACATGTATCTTTTCAATTTTTGTTTTCATCCCTGTCGATATAACATTTTAAATTAACTAGGTTGGTTAGAAACTTGTAAAACAAGTTTATTATTATCGTTGTATATCATCAGTAGACATTTTTCCTTTTCTTTGGTAGAAACTAATTGAAATATTAGCTGTTTCATTTTTTCTTTTACGCTTTGCTTATCGTTTGACTTTATATCATTCTATTTAATAAAGAATGATTCACGAATGAGGCTGATATTACTGACTGTTTTGTTGTTCAAGATGAATATAGTCACACACTTTACTGCATACAAATCAATATTCTTTTTGGTTAACTGTACGCTATACAGCACTGATAAAAATATGCTTACTTTGAACAGGTTTCCTATAATCATTCAGATCTTTAACTTGAACAAGTTGATTGGTTACAGGTTGAATGTTTATCATAACTTATATGCTGAAGGGTGAATTTAAGTTGCTGTTGTCAAGTAACTCAACGTTAAGCTGTAATATATATATATATATATATATATATATATATATATATATATATT